CGATTTCTTCTGTATGTTACATTCTTGAGTGTTCAATCCAAGAGGAATTTGTATTAGTTACAAACACATCTGAAGTGCCAAGGTGCTGTGCCCCACAGCAGAGTGAGGGCCTGGGGGGACATGGCTGGTCCAGCCATTTGTCTGCCCCTCTGCTGAGCCACCCAAACAGCATCTGCCACAAACAGTATCAAAACTTCCTTGTGATTATAAGAGATGAAACACCAAAGGCTTCTACAACTCTGATCAAACATTGAAATTGCCCTTTCAGACCCAAGCATGAGATACCAACTGGGCTTTGCACAGACCAGCCAAGCTTTTAGGCCATTTCAGTGAAAATTGAAAGCCTTTGCATGAAGACCAATACATTGTTCAGCATCTCCTGAGTCACCAGATCCTTTTCAAAGGTTCATCCATCTGCCTCAATGTCTGTGCTAGCATTGTCATACAGTTTCCACTTCATGCAACTACCCACTGGTTTGCTTGATGTTCTAGTGCCTGAGGTACCATCAGTCACTTCCTTTCTTCCACCCAGACACTGCTCACTACAGATAAAGCATGAGAAAACTACCCTTGTACCAATTCCAAATTACAACGCAGGCTAAGAAATCGTATCTTGCAACAAAAGGGTTGTTTTATTTTTAAACTACTGAAAACAAAAAATAATCACAAAACAGACCAGAGAAACATTCACCTCTCTGAAGTGCTACCCAACTTACAACCGTATGCAATTTGAGCCCATAGATTATACTGAAAACTTTAATCCACAAATTTGGCCATGTAAGCACTTCTGCCACAAGCATGTGCTCCCACTGGTTGCTGAAAGGAATGGTACCAACTCACTGAGGCAGAATTTTCTGTTGAACCTGCAGACATAAACCTATACAGCTACTTGTACGACAGTAGCTTCTCCCTTGAGCAGGCTCTGCATCATCCCAAAGTTTTTCCCCCAAGGTATATTTACTTCTGCTGCAGATAAGAGACATACAAGAAACAAACCATTTTCTACTCTAAACAACCTTCAATTTTAATTTAAAGCAAATCTCTGAATGGAGATTCCTTAACAGATAATTAATCAAGTTTGAAAGCATGATTACCTTAACAGCTTATCCATTCAGCAAGATACCTGTTTAATGATCCTGGTCACACTCACCATCTTTTCTAGGAGAATCCACTTTGTCTTGACTTTAGGCAGTGGCACTGCTATCAGCTGAGCAGAGCAGAAACAAGCATTAAACTCTGATCCCCAAAAAGAGCATCTGGGCTCACCAACCAGCAGTAGTTCAAAACTCACTTGGCTTCTTCCTCCAGCATTTGCTCACCTGAGACCTCGACAAACTGACCCTGCTTAGTACATTTAAATTGGAGAGAGGTTTTTTGGTTAAATGCTTGTATAGCCTAATGCAAGTGCCTGGTGTGCCACCTATCTGATCAGAAGAATCAGTGGCATTCCCATTACTCAGCTCCAGAGCCTGACAGCATTTTCCTCACCTTCCAGCTACAGGTGAAACAAGAGCAGCTGGCAGCATACACCAGGTTTCAAACTGGCTTTCCTTCAGACAGCATGGAAGAGTTGATCCTCCACAGCTAAAAAAAAAAAAAAAAAAAA